CCCATCGTTGTGCTTCTCTCTAGCCTGCATAGGAGTGCTTAGGGGTTATCACTACTGAGCTTTTCCTCTCCCACAGGTTTGTTGAAATAATGGCGCCTGTATTTTCTCGAGAAGCATGGCGTTGTGTGTGGCATATGATTCAGGTTTGTGTTTATCACAGACCTTTTTTGTTAGTATTTTGTGACCGGCAGAATCAGGGAACAAACGTATCACTTTTGCTTGGGGAATTAAAATAAAAGTTAGGGATTAGTTTCACATGATTGATCACTTTTGTGTATCTTTCTGATACAGAATGATCTGGTTCATGGATGGGGTCTTGACTTTGCTCTCAGAAGATGCGTTGAGGTAAAGCCACATTCTCTAGCTAGTGTTCTTATGAATCATACCATAATTCTCCGGATTGATCATGAAAATCTGTGTGTATTTTTGCAGCCTGCTCATGAGAAGATTGGCGTTGTAGATTCGCAATGGATAATTCATAAAGTGATACCTTCGCTTGGAAGTCAAGGTAAGTCAGAGAATGGGAAAGCTCCATGGCAAGGAGTGAGAGAGAGATGCAAAAAGGAATGGACTATGTTTCAGAACCGATTAGCAGAAGCTGATAAAGAGTATCTTGGGAGGATGGTTAGAGGTTAAAAATAGATTTTTTTCTAATGGTTATATATCAAAAAACTTCATTTGTATATCAAATATTTGGCACTAATTAGGTTTTTTGATAAGAGCTTATTGATATTTGGTATTTTCAATGTAAAAAATTTGCTGAACATTTTATTATTTTATCCATGCAAGTTAAAGTTAAAATACGTAAAACAAATAAGTGTGACATATATATATAGAATAGAAACATATTTCATATTCCAAACAAGTTTTGATGGGGATTCCTAATACAGTCAAGTGATTTTTTTTGTCAATCTTATTATTATATAAAACTTGATGCGTCAAATTGACTGATCAGATTTTGACACGTGCATACAAGTGTAAAATAATTATTTTCAATTAGATTTTACCGCAAATAAAAAAATTTATCTATTTATCTTTATTT